GCTGTCCGGAATGGCGTCATTCAGCCAGGTTTCCGTGAAACACAGAGCAGCAGAGTGTGAGAAATCCTTGTTTATCCGGGAGAGCAGAAGGAGTTCGTCCATTTTTTTGGGTAGAGAGTGGAGGTTCGCCAGATGGACGCTAGGCAACGGCGTTCTGAATCCACGCTGCCTGAGCTTCACGAGTGCGCCGGCTCTCTTCCCCCGTCTGCGCATCCTGAAGCGCTTGATCAGCGCCGCTGTTCCGCCAACTACAATGTCCAACAAAACATCAGAATAGTCGAAAACCGGTGAAATATTGGGTGATGTGTACTGCCGAATGTCCAGCAATTCGTCTCTGGTGAAACTGATTGCAGGGATATAACTAAAGACAGGACAAACTAAAAAAAGCATAAAAACAACTGCGGAGCACGCCACGGGGCAGCCATCAGCGTCGGCGCCATCGCGAGAATAACTCAAATAACTGGGTTTGTGATGTCACAAACCCGGGAAGTAACTCGTTGTAGTCCCTACCAGACGTTTTTGTAGGCATTAAACTTCCATAATTTTAAAAGACGATATCTCCGTTTACATTGAACTTTCAGCTTCGTAACTTTGTAGATATTGTTTATGCTCAAACAGCAACATTAGACACTAACTAACATTAAAAAAGTGAAATCGCAATGAACCACCCCTTTAATACAATTCAGTTCAATAACAGTGTTGTTGCAAGATTACTGTAGATTGTAACATTGACTGAGGTAAGTTAACATTTACATTTCAATTGTATGAATTGTATGAGGTTGCAGGTATTGCATACAGGTAGATTCCACAGCTCAGTACTCACTACTCAATACTCATGAGTACTTTTAAATAGGCTACTCTTTTACTCTTACTCGAGTAGTTTTTTGGACAAGTACTTTTACTCTACTCACACTACATTTTTTGGAAGGTAATGGTACTTTTACTTGAGTATATTTTTTCAGTACTCTTTCCACCACTGCTCATGTGTTCAATAATGTTCAGTAATGAAACGTGTGCTATCAGGAGACAAGATCACACTTCTCCGGTTTATCGACATTTTGAGTTCGGCATTGAGAGGGTTCTCTTGCATAGGAGAGGTGGTAACCGTGATAGAAAATTGTTACAGAGAGAGGCTTTTTGGATTTTTGAATTGAAATCATTAACCCCAACTGGATTAAATGAAGAGATGGATCTTGCATGTTTTTTGTAAAGGGAAATTGTTGGCGTGACAATTATCCCTCATTGATTAAGATCAGCTGTCAACAATTTGCAATTGTGCCTATATAAGTGTGTTGTTGCTTTTTTTGCCTTATGAGCACTGAAGAAAGCATGGGCTGAAACGTCTGCTCTTTGGTTTGTTTTTAATACACTTTGCACTTTGTCACTTTTTTCACTTCTTGCATATGGAAAATAAAAACTACATTTTTGAGAGACCTTTTTTGGTCTGATTGGAAAAGATATTTTCAGTGTGTGGACTAATTCAGCGACTTAATGAAGTAATAATGGATCCATTCCTTGATAAGTTCACGTCAAACTCATTTATTATCAAAGGGAAGGGAAGCAATACATATGTTGGGTTGTGATCTGGGCCTTACAGATACATGGAGGCAGTCCAATCCTAGGAATAGGTATTACACCTTTTTCTCTCACAAACATAAAATGTATTCAAGGATCGAAGTAGCTAGTTGTGTCATAAAGACAATATCTATTACTGACCATACGCCAGTAGAATTACTTCTAAATTTAACCAGTGATAAAGAGAAACGAGGAAGATGGAGAATGAATACTGCACTATTCTCAGACCCTGTCTTCCGGAATGCTCTAGAGGAGGATTTAAAACTCTTTTCTGAAAAAATGTAGGGAGTACAGAAGACATTTCAACAGTCTGAGAAGCCTCTAAGGCGTATATAAGAGGAAAGCTCATAGCTCAGGCTGCAAGAAAGAAAAAAGAAAACTTAAATTGGATTAAAGAGTTGGAAAAGCAAATTAAAAATAGGGAATTACAACTAATCAATCATTTTTCTGACAATCAGTATCAAGAGCTCTGTAAGTTAAAATATCAATTGCATGAGATTTATAATAAAAAGGTGCAATATGCACTGTATAGACTGAAAACAAACTTGTATGAAGCAGGAGAGAAAACAGGGAAATTATTAGCTAGACAACTGAGAGAGAAAAACACCTCCAACACAATACCAGTAATTAAACAGGGAGATTTTTGGGGGCCAAAGACATAAATAAAATGTTTCAGCAATATTATGAAAAATTGTATACTTCTACTACACACAGTAAATTTGTCCAAAATGAGATTAGAGATTTTCTGTCAAATGTCGATGTTCCTAGATTGCAGCCTGATCAGGTGGATGAGATGGAATCACCCATATCAATGAGTGAGATCAAAGAAGTAATTTCATCAATGAAAAAAGGAAAATCACCAGGTGCCGACGGCCTGCCTGCTGTGTACTATAAGGAATTTGTAGATAGCCCCAATACTCAACGAGGTGTATCAAGAAATGTTTAGGAAGTGGCGGGCGCCCCCGACACTTAATAAGGCTCTTATTTCTTTAATTCCTAAGAAAGGTATTTTAGACCTATTAGTTTGTTAAATGTTTATCTGAAAATGTTGACAAACTTTAGCTAATCGTCTACAAAAGATGTTACCAAACATTATTCACCCCAACCAAGTGGGTTTTATACACAGTAGAGCTTCCTCTGACCATGTAAGATTATGGTTTCATTTAATTTGGACATGCCAATCTAAAAATACTCCAATAACAGCTATTTCTCTTGACGCGGAGAAAGCCTTTGACAAAGTGGAGTGGCAATTTTTGTTTGCAACCCTGTCACATTTTGGCTTTGGGCAAAATTTTATTTCTTGGGTTCAAACAAAGAACCAAAGGCCGCAGTGATCACTAATGGAGTTGTATCCCCCTTTTTTAATCTTTCAAGAGGGACACGTCAGGGGTGTTCATTAAGCCCACTCTTGTTTATTATTTTTTTGGAAATACTAGCAATTATCATTCGAGCACACAATGGGATTAGTGGAGTGAAAGCAGGAGATAAAGAACATAAGATCTTGCTATATGCAGACGACATTTTAGCAGTCATAACTGATCCTCTTACCTCTTACCTCTTTACCACATCTAATGGATGTTATGCAATTCTTCTCAAAACTGTCAGGATACACAGTCAACTGGAATAAATCTGAAGCTACCCCCCTTTCCAATTCATGTTTACCAATTATGGTAGAACAGTTTAAATTCAAATGGGTCTCTAAGGGAATTAAATATTTAGGAATAAAACTGTCCCTCAACAAGGAGGAAATAATAGCATTCAATTTACAAGTTTAAAACAAACCTAGAGAAGTGGGAGAAAATTAAACTTACTCTTTGGGGCAAAATCAGTATTATTCAAATGGTGATAGCCCCCCAACTCAACTATGTATTAATGATGCTTCCGATTAAAATACCAATTTAATTTTTTTAACAATTTGACAATTTAATGACACATTTCTTGTGGGATGGGAAAAGGGCAAGAATTAATCTAAACAAGTTAATTGCCCCTAAAGAGAATGGAGGGATGGGTTTTCCTGATTGTAGATCATAAAATTTGTCATTTGCTTTGGCAAAGATATCTAAATATTGGAATCTGGAAAAAATATCAAATTGATTGGATGAATGTCAAATATAAAATATGTTCACCCTTTACCCCCATTGAATTATTTTCTCAATCTGCATGTAATACTACAAACCCTGTTATTGTTCATTCTAGAGATGCTTGGATTAGAATTCACAAAATATTCAAATTATCTCACAATTTACAGAAATATTCTTCATTATGGTTTAACCCGGCAATTTGTATTGGTAAAAAGATGATTTATTGGAAGTACTGGCACCAGCAGGGAATTAGCATAATTGATGACTTGAGGATGGGGAATTTAGGTAATTCGAAGATTTAGTTAAATGTTATAATTTTGTAGGAAAAGAAAACTTTCGGAAGTTTCTACGTAATTGTATATTGCCTAAAGTTGGCCATGTGGATAACAACCCTATTTTAAGTTACTTTAAAAAAACACAAGAATCTCGTAAATCCTCACAATTATATAAAACAGTAAACTCTTTCAGAAGCAGTGACTTGGGAAATTTAAGGACAGAGGGATAATGGCGAAGAAATTGATTCAGAAAAATGGTCCAGCATCGTGGCGGGGTGTGATAAATATATAAAAGAAGCAAGGGGGAAGTTCACTCAATATAATATTCTACGCAGATATTATCATACTCTGGTAAGACTTTACAGAATGAAACTGATGAAAGACAATTTATGCTGGGAATGCCGGTCGGAAACGGGTACCTTTTTACATTGTATGTGGGAATGTAGTCTTGTTAAGCCATACTGGAAACAGATTATGGATGTCATAATTTGCTGGTATGGCTCCGAAATATCTTTAACCCCTAAATTGTGTTTACTAGGTGACAAATCTCAAATGCCTAATGTTTCAAAACATATATTTTCTGTTATTATGGTATGTATTACAATGGCAAGTAGGATTATTTTGAGACACTGGAAGACAGTGAAAGCCCCAGAATCGAAAGAGTGGGCCAATGCAATGGTAGAAATGGCATCTTATGAATCCATGCTTAATTGAATAAATGGTGTTGGAGAAGAAGGGTTATCTTCCTGGGAAGAGTTCTGGACATATATTACAGTAAGGTCTCAAAATGAATAGACAACTATTTTGTGTTCTATCTTGCACAGTATTGTATTTCATGGTTAAAATGTGCCTGTAGAAATTTGTATCCATGTATAATTACTGTAATGTTGTACTTCTGTTACCCATCAGCCTTCCAAAAAAAAGCAATAAAAACTTCAATTAAAAACAAAAAAAGGGAAAAAAAGAATATACTTTATAGGTAAACAGATGAAACATGCTGAAAAGAATATGAGATGAGTGCAAATAAAAGTGCAAAAAAATTGACTTCACTATGTATTTATACAGATACCTGTGTAAACGTGCATGTGCGTGCAATGACCTCTGTGCTGCGGCCGTAGCTGCGGCCTCCATGGCGAACTGTCTCATTGCACTCTCTTCTAAGTACTTCTGTTCCCATCGTGTCATATCAGCCTCCAATCCCAGAATCCTTTCCCCTCTCTCCCTTAGCAGATCCAGTAGTGCAGGAGCACTGGACTCACACACACTAAGGGGAACACCTACACCAGCACGCTACACACAGGGAGAAACAGTGGTTATAAATATATATTGGGCTGGATAATTGCTCTCTAACATATAGGTCCGTTGTTGTTGAAAACTCCCTTTCGTGGCTAATATATAATGTCACTGGATTGAGCATATCTAATTTATTATTACATAAACAGATGTGTTGCTAGGCAGCTGCTAGTTATAGATGGTTACTATGGTGTTTTAAGCATGTTTCAGCACTTAGCTAATCGATATCAGCATGTAGCTATTCACTGTTAACATGGCTAGCAAACTGTTGTCATCATTTATCATTTTTAGTATTTTTATGTGGACAGTTCGATTATATTTTTGTTGTAAATGGGCTTTGCAGTGAAGCCTCTTTATGTTTTGAAATTTATATATATATATATATTTAAAGCTTTGTTCTAATTCTATTATATTTATTGTTTATGGGTTTATGTTACAGTACTCTAGATCACTAGTGTACACAACATCAAATTCATATGAATTTCATTGACCAATTAGAAGGTTGTAATTAGCTTCAATTGTCCCATTACTGTACACTTTGAGAACATTTAGACTCATCTCATCAGGGATGGAAGGGAAAATATCTGACAGTGATGTATTGTGTGCTTTATGGAGCAAAAAGGTTAAACCTAACTTGAGCAAATTCAGAATACAAGATCTCAATTCAGATGAGAGAATGCTTACATGGTGGAACATAATTGGTAAACATGAAAAGAAATCAAAACAAGGTGAAATAATTGAGGCTTTAAACTACATGCGTTATATAAGGCTAAGTGAGTTAACAATGTGTCTAACTTTAAGTATAGATGCTAAATGTGAAGAACTGCATTCTAAAAAGACAGAGGCACAAAAGTCAGAAGCTAAGATTCAAGATCTTCAATTGCAGCTAGATAACTTACTAGCTGAGCAGTTAATCCTAACTGAGAAGTGTAAAAATCACAAGGACATCATTGCAGATCTCAAGGCTAAGCTTGAGGCACAAGAGTCCATGTCTCCCAAAACGCTTAACAGCGATGGGGCTAAAAAGCATGTTCACTTCTTAGAGGAATTGACTTGCTGTGATGATTCTGGAATGATTTGTTCAGAGGAAGCATGTGCCACTGCTCAAAAAAGTGTGCCGATTTCAGTTCTTAAGGTGATGCAGCACCGTAATAGCGCAGAGTCGTGGACCAGAACGCATGGTGTAAAGGAAGCATTAGAGAGTCATGAAAATCCTCAAACTTCAGGAGAACACAGCAAACAACCCTTTGGCAAAGATAGCAGGTTTTGTAGTTCTTGTCACAAAATAGGCCATACAGAGGAAAAATGCTGGTAGACTAGAAATGTACAGTTTTATACCATCGTGCTGATAACGTTTCTTTAGTCATTCGGCAATCCTACAGCCTGAACCACCGTAGGGAAACCATCCTTACAGTGGATTGTTACATATGTGTAGTTACACAAACATAACAGCTGTATATACTATGTACCAATGCGTACTTACACTGTGGTTACATACTATGTACACATCTAGTTACTATGCAAGTACACAGTACAAATCTGTTGTCAGATGTAAGAGGCTGACAATTAGCTGAACATATACTTGTTTAATTAGTAACACTTAGCCTGCATTTTAAAATCTTTATTTGAATGTGGCAACATTTTTATTTTTAAACCTTTATATATGGCAACATCGTGCTCTACAATATTTTTCTGAATAAATCTCTGACAGAGACCCCTCCCCTATCAGCCAATCACTGTGTGCATAGTTAGTAAGCATGCTGACATCATCTATAGCAACAAGGTCAACCCCACCCTTAAGCCCCGTTCACACCAATAACGATAACTATAAAGATAACTATAAAGATAATGAAATTAGCGTCCACACCAGCGAAAGATATCGTCTGTTTATTCTAAGCGCACATGCGTCTGCCACTTTAAACTCTTGAGCTCGTTACAGCAGGATGGATTCTGATTGGCTGTCAGTGTTTTATCGTTCATCAGCTGGAAAAAAAAACATTTTGAAAGTGATCACAACAATATCGTTCCTCTGTATCGTTATCGTTATAGTTGTGGTGTGAACTATGCTATTCTTTAATATTAAGAACGATTTTTAGAACTATATCTTTATCGTTATCTTTATAGTTATCGTGCTTGGTGTGAACGGGCCTTTACTCTTAGCTTAAGACTTCTCTATATTCCTTAGTAAAAGTTTGTCTCAGCAGCTTTGTGAATAGGTTTTAAGAGAAAACTCTTAGCTAAAAACTTTTACTGCTATTTAGGAGACCTCTTAGTAGTAAGATAAAATGTTTTGTGAATACGGGCCCTGATCTCTTAGATAAGTTTCTCTCTATTTCTGTCTTAAAGCAAGACCTTCCAATTCTGACTGAAATTCAATGACGTCAAGGCTGTAATGTGATTGGTTATCAAGGCACACGTGATCCAAGTTGACCGTTATGCTTTCTCACAGACCCTCTCATCTCCCTATAGTAAAACAATCTCTTGCTGCATCCCAATTCGCATACTATCCATCCTATATTATAGTATTCGAAATTAGAATTAGTATGTCCCAAATCGTAGTATGTTGAACTGAGTATTCCAAAGGTACCCGGATGGTTTACTGCTTCTGGTAGAAATTAGAAGTGCAGATCTGTGCACACTCAAATGGTTAATATTGCCCACATCACATTGCGCGGTGGATGAGGATTCGATTAGAACTACAAACTACAAAAAACTACAAACATGGCAGATATGCGAGACCGACGGACAGGTAGAGAAAGGAGTTTGAGTGATAAATAATCAATATCTAACCTGTTGAAAAAATATTTATTTAATGTTATCCGCGTTGGATTTCCGGTTATGGCGTGGTGCTGAGTGGTTGCGAATCGGAGCTCCGCAACAAATACTGACATAAATGTTCTTCTTTAATTCAACAAACGTTGACAGACTGATTCCATTTTAAATTCAGATGCATCTTAACGTTACAAGTTGCCACCAAAACCAATGAAAACGACACAGAAACAAGTCAAATCGACCATGAAGAGGCCGAGGCAGATGCTAAATCCAATAAGCCAATAGCGAAGAGGCAGCGTCAGGTGTTAGCCAAGAGTCTGCAATCCTTGAGGCTATCCATTCACTGAAATCGGACTTTGCTGTGCGATTTGATGGATTGCTCCAGGCGATCAATGGAGTGCAGAGCGATCTTAAAGCTCTCACAACACGGGTAACAGAAGCCGAGGATCGAATAGGCACTCAAGAAGATAACGTCTCAGAGTTGCAAACGCAGAACGCAAAATTGAAAACTGCCATAGAATCTCGCTCATTAAAAGTCGATGATCTGGAAAATCACAGTCGTCGGTCCAATCTACAAAAATATCGAGGTAATGAGATCCTGAGATCCTCGGCCCGGAAAATTTTCCTGGTCCTCTTGTAATTGAGAGAGCTAAAAGCAAACATTTATGTGCAAAGAAGTTAAGAGAAATTATGATTGGATAAACTAAAAATATTTTGTATGTGAAAGTGAAGTTGGACAAGAGAGTACAATTAAATTAAAAATTAGAGAATCTCAAAAGAAACTCTAATCTGGCAAAATTATGTCTCAATCCCAGAGAACCACTACTGCCATGCAGAAGTCTCAGTAATTGTGAATAAAAGAGACATTATAAATTCGAAAACTAAAACTGTAATGCACATAATGATAATTTTGATGCTACTGAGAGGCTTGTAACCAAGCCTGAGGGTTAAACACATTCAGAGGACATCCACAACTTCTCCTGAGGGAGAATTAGTCAAACAGTCAAATTAATCAAATTAAATTGATTGAAAATCACTCAATAGTAGTAAAATCGTCTCAGGTTACTTATGTAACCATGGTTCCCTGAGTAGGGAACGAGACACTGCGTCCTCTAGGGG